TGCCCAACACCGCCATGAAGAAGAAGGTGCTGCTGATGGGCAAGAGCGGCTCGGGCAAGACCAGCATGCGCTCCATCATCTTCGCCAACTACATCGCGCGCGACACCCGGCGCCTGGGGGCCACCATCGATGTGGAGCACTCCCACGTCCGCTTCCTGGGCAACCTGGTGCTGAACCTGTGGGACTGCGGCGGCCAGGACACCTTCATGGAGAACTACTTCACCAGCCAGCGCGACAACATCTTCCGCAACGTGGAGGTGCTCATCTACGTGTTCGACGTGGAGAGCCGCGAGCTGGAGAAGGACATGCACTACTACCAGTCGTGCCTGGAGGCCATCCTGCAGAACTCGCCCGACGCCAAGATCTTCTGCCTGGTGCACAAGATGGACCTGGTGCAGGAGGACCAGCGCGACCTCATCTTCAAGGAGCGCGAGGAAGACCTGCGGCGCCTGTCGCGCCCGCTCGAGTGCGCGTGCTTCCGGACGTCCATCTGGGACGAGACGCTCTACAAGGCCTGGTCCAGCATCGTCTACCAGCTGATCCCCAACGTCCAGCAGCTGGAGATGAACCTCCGGAACTTCGCGCAGATCATCGAGGCCGACGAGGTGCTGCTGTTCGAGAGGGCCACGTTCCTGGTCATCTCCCACTACCAGTGCCGGGAGCAGCGGGACGTCCACCGCTTCGAGAAGATCAGCAACATCATCAAGCAGTTCAAGCTGAGCTGCAGCAAGCTGGCCGCCTCCTTCCAGAGCATGGAGGTCAGGAATTCCAACTTCGCCGCCTTCATCGACATCTTCACCTCCAACACGTACGTGATGGTGGTGATGTCGGATCCGTCCATCCCCTCCGCGGCGACTCTGATCAACATTCGCAATGCCAGGAAACACTTTGAGAAGCTGGAGAGAGTGGACGGCCCCAAGCACAGCCTGCTCATGCGCTGAAGACTGCCGCCGCTCTCCGGGAAGTGCTGAATTGCCGCCTTTCGCATCCCTTATTTCTGAGACCCGTAACGTCGTGTGCTTCAAAGTGGGCTTCGAGGTGTGTGCTGCTTACTACTTTGGTCCCTTTCTTCCCTGCTCCCCAGTCACTCAACTCTGGACGCTATTTACTCGGCTACCCAGTAGAGCTTCAAGGTGGCCCTTCTGAAAAGTTGCTACGGTGTAACACTAAAGTAGGTGGTTTGTGTGTGTTCCGATTTCCTGGTTATGATAGATACGGCATCAAAGCCTTTACCAATATCTTCCTGTATTCCTTATAAGATTGCAAAGATGGAATGTCACTATTTTATCAGCAAGGTATTAAAATGCATTTATAAATTCTTGGCTTCATTCATGAATAAATATGTTAGCAATTTGAAACATGGTCTTACTTGAAATATTTTGAAGGGGCTTAATACGTAAATCTAAGGATTCTGACTGCCCAAAAGTATTGCTTAACTGGTAGACTTGATTTGACGAGCTTAGCCCATCACTTGGGTGATGTTGGATAACAGCTGTAGAAGTCTGGTTAAGACCCTGGATTTAGGCCACCTGAGTTGTTAGCATTCTGATCCCCTCACTTCCCTAGCTCTGTTAATTTGGGCAAAATCCCTAATTTCGCTGTGCTTGTTTCCTCTTTTGTAAAACGTGGGTAACACTACTTCCTAAGATTGTTAAAGGATTAAATTAAAACAATATGGAAAGTATTTAGGAGTGGTGCCTAGCACATACTCAGTCCTGTGTTAGCTACCATTATCACCTAAACTATATGAGCCCTTACTAAATGCCAGGTGTTCTTAAATACTCGATGTACATTTATCTCATTTAATCCTCACAACCGATGAGGTAGGTTACGTTTTCATCTATTTTAGTAGCAGAGAAAATGGGTATGACCTTACTAAGGTCATACAGCTGAACCAGCTACCCACGCACCATTTCAAACCCTTATTTCATGCCACTTCCCCCATGGACAGAAAAGTTCATCATAAAAATTCCAGCTTTCTGAATGTAGATTATTCCTTAACATAATTCCAAATGTACACACTGAGGAAGCTGAAGCCCAGGAAGTGACTTCCCTCGAGGAACAGTGGGAAGATCTGGGCAAGATTACCGTCCCATTTATATTTATCTGGAAACTGGATACTATTGAATCAGATTCTTAAGATTATACTTTTGGGGAAGGATAGAGGCTCCTAATTGGGATTGGCCATGTGGTGGTACAGTGAAACCCATAAACAGACCTAGAATGTCCCATTTCAGTTTTAGCAGTAGCCACCTTACAGATTGTTTGAAATGAAATCTAAGTATTTTGGAGCCAAGAGACCTCTGATCAACTCCAAGCCTCATTTTACAGATAATGCAATATCTTTGTATACACAGTAAGTATAAGTAATAAGGCTTTATAAGTTATTTAACATTTTTATTAAAACCTTTCTAGCAGCTGTGGATGACATGATCCCTACCCATGAAGAGCAAGAAGACATTCAGGTGTTTTTGGGGGGTTTTTTTTTAGTCAAACTCTTACTGCCCAGGCTGGAGTGCAGTGGCACACTCCACGGCCACTGCAGCCTCAAACCTGCTGGGCTCAGGCGATCCTTCCACTTCAGACTTCCAAGTAGCTGGAAGTACAGGTGTGCGCCACCAAGCCCAGCTAATTTTTTTGACTTATTATGGACGAGGTCTCAAACCCCTGGGCTCAGGCAATCCTCTCGCCTCCACTTCCCAAAGGGATGGGGGTTGTAGGCATAAGCCACCAAACCCGGCCCAGATATAAGTTATACAAACCATCTAATTAGGGACATTGACAATAAGTGAGGAAGTAATACTCCAGATGAGGAAACTGACAAGATATACTTTAAGAACTCATTTAAAAGTACTCTATGTAGTAAATCCAATTAAAATGGCAATAACAAAACACTCTTACCTGAATCACTGAACCTCTCAAACTTATTTTGTTGATCGATTTTTGTTTTGTATTTTTTTGAGTTGGAGTTACCCTGTGGCCCAGGCTGGAGGGCAGTGGCACATGCATGACCACTCCAGCATCAACCTGCTGGGCTCCGGCGATCCTTCCACTTCAGCCTTCCAAGTAGCTGGAACTACTGGTGCGTGCTACCATGCCTAGCTAGTTTTTTAAATTTATTGTAGAGATGAGGTCTTACCAAGTTGCCCGGGCTGGTCTCAAACACGCAGGCTCAGGCAATCCACTCGACTCAGCCTTCCAAAGTGCTGGGATACACAGTAAGTATAAGTAATAAGGCTTTATAAGTTATTTAACATTTTTATTAAACCTGAGCCACCAAGCCCGGCCTGATCAAGTTTTTAATATACCTTTGCATGTGATCATTTTATGGGCTGCAGGGGCTTGGCTCCTCTTCATATTATGTAATAGCCCTCTTTACCATTACTTTTATTCCATCATATACGAGGCAAAACCAAACAATTCCAGTACTTAAATATTTGTTAATAACACGGTCCTTGGGGTGTAAGTATGCATGTGAATATATACACACAAGACATGTCTACGTAGGGGTGTGTATGTATGTATATATATATTTAGTATAATGAGATACAATCATTAAAAAACTACAAAACAATTAGTGAAAAATGAATAAAAAGTTAAGATACATCATAGAAGATCTCAGACCGGATAGGCACACGGATGTGGAAAGGATAGATTAGGACTTCAAGGTATAAGTGAAGTGTCTGAGCCTTAGAAGAGTTATAATTATGATAAGTTAGAAGGGGAAGATAAGGTATTCCAGCTTCAGGAGAACTGGAAATCAAGATTGCTAAAGACCTATGCTCATGGAAGCATTTCAGTATAAAAATGGGAGATCACAGTAGAAGGCGGAATAGAGGAAATCTGTGTAGAGGACCTTTATGCATTTAAATTTGAACTCTGTTCTAGAATTAGCAATGAAGTGACCCCATGAAGACAGTCCCTTAAGGTAAAAAAGCAACTCTGTAGATGTTGGATAGGGAAGAGGCTGAAGACAAAAAGCTGTAATCACAGTGGTTAAAATGGTAGCAGGTGTTTTTGTTTACGGTACTGGCACATAAAGGGCAGGGAATGTCACCGGTGTAATTCACATAACAATATGTCTGTAGGTCTACAATATCCAAAGACACTTTGAAGGGCTTCCACACTTTTATTAGTGAACTTGAGCTTCCCTGTTAGATCATTAACGATGTCTACAGCAGTACATCATGGAAGTGTACATGCTTCTTAAAGGTACCATAAGGTTAAAGGTGACTATCCCCTAGCTAGCAGTTCTCAAACGTTTTTTACTGAGCCTAAGGATGACCAGAGGAGCATTTAAAATGCAAATTCCTAATCTCCATTTCAAACTTGCATTTTATAAGATGCATCCCAGATGATCCTATCACAGATGGTCCTTGAGTCCATCTTAGGTCATTTAAGCTCCCTAGCTTCAGTATCATTAACTGTAAAATAAGCTTAATTGCTATCTTACAGAGTGACAACAAATAAATGAAACCTGCACCAATTGTCTAGCAATGACCCGGGCACTTTGCAGATGTTGATATGATAGGCTTACCTCCTCAACATTCTACTTTTTTTTTTTTTACAGACACTGTAAATTTAAAATTATTCTCTTCCTCTTTCTTGTCCATGGCAAAGATGTTCTTTCTTCTGTCTGTTTTCACAAAAAGACTAGTCTTCAAACTGAGACAAGACAGAGAGAAAGGCAGCCCAAAATAAGAAGAAAGAAATGAACTATTAAGTTCATCTATTTGCAGAACTCTCCACTCCCAAGCTGCCTCCTCTCCACGCGTTTCTTGAAGGCAAGTGGATGGGTTTTGACACCTGCATGCTGAGGCGCTACAGAAGGTAACGTAGGGGCTACCACCCGTGCAGTGCCTTCCCTTCCTCCTGGCTCACAGAGGGGACAGCATGTGCTCATTGGATGCTAGAGTTGTCCCTTGTTCTGGGCCAGGGAAACTGAAGGAGCAAAGCCAGAGACCCCATAAGCGTGACAAGTATTAAACCCCAAGGTCACTTTCCTCAAGTCATTCTGGGGAACTTTGATGGTTAGTTCCTTTCCCCAAAACAGCACCCCCATAGTCCCAAAAAACACCCAACAACAAAACAGACTAAAGAATCATTTTAATGTACATTTTTGTTAAAATATAAAACTAGAATTAAAGTCTAAATTAGAGTAAATATAAGTGCCATATAACCCACTGAATGGATTTACAGTTGAACAGTGTTCCTCAAGTAGTCTAGTCATCTTCCTTTTTAAAAATCTGGCCGGGCTCAGTGGCTCAGCCTGTAATCCCAGCACTTTGGGAGGCCAAGGTGAGTGGACTGCCTGAGCCGGTGGGTTCAAGACCCACCCGAGCAACTTAGCAAAACCTCATCTCTACAATACATCAAAAACTAGCCGGGCGTGGTAGCGCATGCCTGTAGTTCCACCTACTTGAAAGGCTGAGGCAGAAGGATAGTCAGAGCCCAGCAGGTTGAGACTGTGGTGGCCAGAAGCGCGCCACTGCACTCCAGCCTGGGTGCCAGAGTGAGACTCCAACTCAAAAAGAATAAAACAAAATAAAAATACACATGTTGGCTCATACCTGTAATCCCAACACTTTGGGAGGTAGAGGCTACAGGACTACCTGAGTCCAGGGATTCGAGAACAGCCTGGACATCTTGATGAGAACTTATCTCTGTAATAAACCAGCCTATAGTTCCAGCCACTTGGAAGGCTGAGGTAGAAGGATCGCCTGAGCCCAGTAGGTCAAGGCTGCAGTAGCTGTGAGCGTGCTCCTGCACTGCAGCTTGGGCGACAGAGTAAGACTCCAACTCAAAAAAAAAAATTTTTAAGTTAAAAAATTAAAGTCCTTCTGCCCCAGTCTACCCTTATCATCACATGCACTTTATTCCAACAAAAATCATTTCTCAGGGTCAGTCTCTTGAATAATTTTTAAGCCTTCAAATTTATCATCTTCTTAAAATTTATCATCTTGACTATACATCACAAGGCATTACTTTTCTCAGTTTTTTTGGTTAGTCCTAAAATGTTCCACAAAGAAACAATAGAAGTTGTATATTGCTCTAAAATAAAAGATCAGTACACTCAATGGCTATCATATTAATCACTTAATGAAAGTACAAGGAAAACTACCCATTCTTATATTAATCAACTGAAATTATAATAAATTAAACTACCTTTGTCATTTACTTAATGTTTACAAGTTTATTCAAGAAATCCAAAATCGCTTCCCATAACTTGATGTTTGCTTTTCAAATACTTCACATTTCAACCCCATATACCTATAAAAAGAAAAACTTCAATCATATTTTCCTTAGAAAAACAGTACAGGAGCCGGGCTCAGTGGCTCAGCCTGTAATCCCGTGCCTTTGGGAGGCTGAGGTGAGTGGGATTGCCTGAGCCCGTGGGTTCGAGACCCGCCTGAGTAGCAGGACCTCATCTCTACAATAAATCAAAAAATTAGCCGGGCGTGGTAGCGCATGCCTGTAATTCCAGCTACTCGGAAGGCTGAGGCAGAAGGATCACTGGAGCCCAGCAGGCGAGGCTGCAGTAGCCGTGAGTGGTCACTGCGCTCCAATCTGGGCGACAGAGTGAGACTCCAACTCAAAAAAAAAAAAAAAAAAAAGTACAGGAAGGTAAAAGGCACTGAGGACTTTTTAAACCTTGAAAAAGCGTGTTACACGTCCAACATGTATTTAAGTTAAAAATCAGTTTCTATACTGCGGCGTGGCTTCGATTTAGGTGCATCCCAAATATTAAGCGGGTACTGCTTCATCTTGTCATGTCGGAGATTCTTTTTCATCAAGGCTCTTATTCAAGATGTCTTCTTCTACAAAGTTGGTTTTTAAAAAAAGGATAAGCAAACATTACAAAGAAAAATAAATAGGACAGTTTACAAGTAGCAGCAAATTCCAGTGTTAAGAAAAAAAAGTTCATATTTATGCAAGTATTCACCCATGATAAAATTACCATTATCCTCACTAAAGTATCCTCTTTCTCAAAAAAATCAATACATTCCTCCTGGAATATACCAATATACCAGTGTTTAATTACCACAGGCAAATCAGAATGACATACAATAAATCTGTATCACCATATCCATATCTGTCCTAACATGTTAAAAGAGCAAATTTTTTAAACCTTTATGATGAACATTTTCAAACATGCAAAAGTGAAGAGAATTATAATTAGCACAATGTATTCACCTCCTAGCTTCAATAATTACTAATACTATAAGGATTAAACTGTGTTCCCCAAAAAGATTAACTCAAGCTCTGACTCCAGTACCTCAAAATGTGACCTTATTTGGAAATACAGTTATTACATTACAGATAGAATCAGCTACAACGAGGTCCTACTGGGGCAGTGTGGGTCTTTAATTAACATGACTGTGACCTCATAAAAAGATACACAGACACACAAGAGATGAATGTGTGTGAAGACGGAGGCCAGCATTAGAGCTATGCTGCTACAAGCCAAGAATGCCTGGTGCTGGAAGCTAGAAGAGGCGAAGAAAAGGCGAAGAAAGATCTTCTAGTAGCTTGAGAGGAAACATGACCCTGCCAACACCTTGATTTAGGATTTCCAGCCTCTAGAACTTACTGTCTCCAGATACAGTAAATTTCTGTTGTTCTGAACCACTCAGTTTTTGGTACTTTGTTATAGCAGCCCTAGGAACCTAAATCAAGCTTGTTTTTTGTTCCAACTACCCACTCCCACCAAATTTACTTCGAAGCAAATCACAGATATACCATTACAAGAATGATATTTTAAATTGTTTCTCAACTTTTTAAAAAGCACCTTCCACTAGACAAGAAGACTTTAATGAAATTTATTTTCAATAATTTGTGTTTCAAAAGCAAGTTTCAGGTTTGGATTTTCCCCCCACCCATCCTAAACCAATTGTAAACTACATACACAAAGGAGACTCTGAAAGTACCCATAAAGTGAGAGAGTATTCCTCTCATCCTAGATGAAGGAGTAAGGAGCATATTTTGTCAAGCAACACTCACTGTGTACTACTGTAATGAAAAGTTGAGAGAAAACTTTAACAGGTCTAGTTAAATCTTACCTTTTAAATTAGGTAGAAGTTCTCCGAGACTACATGGTATTGTGGTCCTTGATCTTTGTTCTGGAGAAAACTTAATTAGTGGCGAAAGAGACCGTTTTCTTTCCCCAAGTGACATGCGTAAAGATGGTTTTGCATAGTCCGTATGCAAATCATGAGTGTCCAAAAAGCTCAGCATATCATCTGTTTGCATGTTTTGGGGAGTAGGGCTCAATTCTGGTTTGTGTCTTTCAAATGTTTCAGGATTAGGGAGGTAGGATTCTTCCCTTTCCTCACAGAGAGATTTTTTCTGAGCCTCATATCTCCTGCAAATTGCCTGTAAATTCAAGTCTGATTCTGAAGTAGTCTGTCTTTCTCCTACAAAACCCTCTGGGAAAACATCACTGTACACAGGACTGTTTGGTTCCAGTTTAAAATTGGCCTCTGAGCTAGAGGAGCTACAAAAACTTAGGCGACCAACTTCTGGAAGAGTTTCGTGTAATATCCCAAAATCAGTATCCTTAAAACTCGGAGAACTAATTCCACTTGATACTTGGAAAGAGTTCCATAACAGAGTTTTGCTCATGGAAGGCTTGTTATAAGAGGCTTGTGAGTGGTCCAGTGTTTTGGTATCTTTACTGCCAGTCATCACATCTACCCTAGTGCCCACAGCAGGGGAGAAAGTCTCTATTCGGCTAGTTTCTGAAAGCTTGGTTGGTAAAGCTACACATTCCAAATCTTGCTTGCAAAATACTTTCTTATCTAACAAATCTGACTGATTTTGTGTTAGTGATTCACCTATGTGACCAGTCACCACTTGTTTCTGAGGCAAACACTTGTAGTCCAAAACAACTTTCTCTTCAGGAAAATGAGACTGGTCAAATTCTGATACAGAGGTTCCTGAGAAAAAGCTGGCCATACTAGATTCTCTTTGATTATGCAACACAGGTAAAGATTCTGGCAATACTTCTTTAAAATGTTCAGTGTCCATCTGAATTGGTTCCATATTTCTGTTATCTTCCGTATTAATAGCTTTTCTCCATGAGCTCCTAATTTCAGTTACTAATTAAAGTGGGGGAAAACACAAGTTACTAATATTCCCAAACATAAAGCATGCAATTAATCATTTTATTTCTAGTGCTGAAGATAAAGCTGATTCAGTATGTGTTCCATAAATATAAATATACTGGTTGGATGACAGGACTTCACAATGTAACAAGCCCCAACAACAAAGAACTCCATCTCCAACTGATCAAACTCAAACACATGTAACAAAAGCTATTCCTGAAATAATGCCTCCTTTTACACAGCACATACGAATTACATGTATTAAAAAGACATTTTCATTCAAGACCAGCCTAGGCATCACAGTGAGATCCCATCTCTACAAAAAAAAATTTTAATTAGTGGAATGTGGTGGCATATACCTGTAGTCCTAGCTACTTCAGAGGCTGAAGCGAGTCACTTGAGCCCATGAGTTCAAAGCTGCAGTGAACTATGACTGCACCACTGCATTCCAGCCTGGGCAAGAGAGCAAGATCCTGTCTCTAAAACAAAATCAAATTAAAAATAAAAAGAGATTTTCTTGTCCATCTAGCCCTGGGTTTGGCAAACTTTTTTTGTAAAGGACCAGACAGACCAAATAGGCAATCCAAGCCATCCACTCTTTCCCAACTACCTACCCCTGCCATTATAGCATGAAAGTAGCCATAAACAATGTCAATATCTGAGCAAGCTTGCGTTCAATACAATTTTATTTACAAAAACACAAAAGGCGGGGCCAAATTTGGCTCACAGGCTATAGTTTGCTGACCACCAATCTAGGCTGAGGCTCAGTTCAGTCTGAATTAAATCAGCAGCAAGAATGAAACTATGTTTAGCAATCAACCAAGATGATCCACCTATATCAGGACAGCAGTATCAGAACTTTGCCTACACAAACTATAGGTTTTAGTAGAAAAGGAACACAGTTTGACTCATTTTGGAGGGTAAAGATCTGTGCATAGTTCCTGGCTGGTACTTCTGTTGCTGATTGAGAATATGGCCTCTGTACTCTATAAATGTGGATCACAGGTGAGATTTGGAGGGAGAGGGTTTCATTTTAATGATCAAATAAAACATTCCCAGAAAAAAATCTAAGCAAAACAAAAAACAAAATTGTATATTATCAGGGCTGATTATAACTCTGTATGCTGAAAGCACAAAATACTGCTAAAGACTACAAAGTATGACAGTTCCCGCACTTTGAAAATACTTCAGAAGGACTGAATTTAAAAAATGTGGTACATATACATGATGGAATATTACACAGCCATAAAGAAGGATAATATTATGAACGGCACAGCAACTTAGATAGACTTAGAGGCTATAATACTGAGTGATCTATCACAGAAACAAAGAATCAAGTATCATATGTTCTCACTCATAAGCGAACCTTAAACAACTATCATAATACTATAAAAAAGGGATTGGAGCCGGGCTCGGTGGCTCAGCCTGTAATCCCACGCCTTTGGGAGCCTGAGATGAGTGGATTGCCTGAGCCCACGGGTTCGAGACACGCCTGGGCAGGCAAGACCTCATCTCTACACTAAAAATAAAAAATTTACTGGGTGTGGTAGCACGCGCCTATAATTCTAGCTACTCGAAAGGCTGAGGCGGAAGGATTGCTGGAGCCCAGCAGGCGAGGTTGCGATGGCCAGGAGCGGCCACTGCACTCCAGTCTGGGCGACAGAGTGAGACTCCAACTCAAAAAAAACGAAACAAAACAAAAAAGGGATTGGGAGGTAGTGGGAAACTGCCAAGGGAGGGCAGAAGCGGGATTGACAGGAGTGGGAAACTGGCAGGGGAGGGTGGGGCACACCTCATCAACAAGGGTACCTGCATAATGAACATCTGTATATCTAACCCTGAATTGTACCCCATATAGTCTGGGTGACAGAGTGAGACTCCAACTCAAAAAATAAATAAATAAATAAATAAATAATTAAAAAAATAAAATAAAAAGAAAAAAAAAGAAAACACTTCATAAAAGTATCTGTGATTTCCTCATAAAAGTCTCTACATCAGAGCAAATACAGAGCCACTGCCAACTCTGTCAGGCCATGGTTCAAATAGTGTCAATGTCTAAGAAAGAAAAAAAGGAAAAGAAAGCATTAACTTACTCAAGCTTTCTGGAGTACGAGGAATTCGGTTCCTTGTTAAGAAGGGGTTAGAACCTAAATGGTCAATAAGTTCCTCTAATTTTACATCTTTTCCTTCAGAGACCTGTGGTGAATCAGATAAAACAGCCTTGACAACCTAAAAAAGAGAAAAGATAAAGCAAAAATTACCAAGCCTATTGGTAGACTGCAACAAAAGCCCCAATACAATAAGCACTTCAGAATCAGCAGTTCCTCCCACAGCAAAGAAAACAAAAATAAGCAACAATGAGGTTCCCAGAGAACTAGAGATCCTCTAGGCACAATCCTGTAAAGTTATGAAATGCAGTATTTCCTCATCTTAAACAAATAACCCATTTTAAAGGAGACAATAGACAAGAATCACTACTCTTGGGAAGATTTGGGAGCAGTTCTGACTATGCAAAGACCTAGGCTGCTGTCACATCTTTGGGCTTCACAGTTCTGTATCCACTAAAGTGGCGAGTTTTAAAGCGAGCTGGGGTCAGTAGCTCATGCCTGTCATCCTAGCACTTTGGGAGGCTGAGGCAGTAGAAGTGCTTGAGCCCAAAAGTTCGAGACCAGCCTAGGCAATATAGCAAGACGTCATCTCTACAAAAAACTAATAAATTAGCTGGAGATGTAGGAGCCCGACTATAGCCCCAGGTATCTGGGAGGCCAATGCAGGAGGACTGCTTGAGCCCAGGAGTCAGAGGATACAGTGAACCATGATCAGGCCACTGAATGGCCAACAGAGACCCTGACTCAAAAGTAAATGAATAAAAAATAAATAAACACAGCAGATTCTTCTCAATTATAATGCATTTGTATGGCTAAATCTCTATTAACAAATAGACTACATTCTGACAATGGATCGCTTAGCTAGAAACCTCACAATCAGATCCAAATTACTGAACAAAGTATAGGAATACATCCTAAAACTTAGAAAAGTATATGACACAAAAATACTTTGTATTAACTAAGTATCAATAAAATTGAAAAAATATGCAAATTAAAATTTCTGCCCGAGATCACTGAAAAATAAACTCCCTAAAACCATAATCAAATTGGCCCAAGAAAACATAGGACTTCTGAGATATCAACAATCAAATATCCTTTGTCGTAAATACTATTATAAAGAAAATTAATTTCACTTTACTTATGAGGTTTTTCAGGACTCTTCTATTCCATCCCATTCCACTGTTAATATAAATTCTTTTAACCAGATGATATGCCTTTCCTTCCACAATTAAGAAAGAAAGAAAGACTAACTATACTCTGATGTATAATCAGCGAGAAGAAACAACAGAACTTGAGACTTTAAAGTATTTAAAGCCATGATCAGTGGCTCATGCCTATAATCCCAGCACTTTGGGATGCCAAGACCAGCCTGGGCAACATAGCAAGACCTCATCTCCACAAAAAATAAAGTATTTAGAGACCATGAAACTGATCCTCATGTTAAAAACAAGAAAAATAACTGTCGTGTACTTCTCTTATTTAGACAATGCTCCTTTAGTTTGGTCAGGAATGGAATAAAGGAGAACAGTCCAATACCTAAATTAATATCCACTAAACCAAATTTTTGTCTCTTAAGAAGAAAAAGTAACTCATTTATCTTCTGGCTGCTTAGCCAAATTCAAATATTACTAAGGAATGTTGTGAGAAACATGTAATAAAGATAACATTATTAGCCGGGCTCGGTGGCTCAGCCTGTAATCCCATGCCTTGGGAGGCTGAGGTGAGTTGATTGCCTGAGACCGTGGGTCTGAGACCCACCTGGGCAACTTGGCGAGACCTCATCTCTACAATAATCAAAAATTAGCCAGGCGTGGTAGTGCATGCCTGTAGTTCCAGCTCCTTGGAAGGTTGAGGCGGAAGGATCGCCGGAGCCCAGTAGGTCGAGGCTGCAGTGGCCAGGAGCATGCCACTGCACTCCAGTCTGGGTGACAGAGTGAGACTCTAACTCAATAAAATAAAAAATAATAATAATAAAAATAAATAACATTATGGGCCAGGCACGGTGGCTCACACCTATAATCCCAGTACTTTGGGAGGCTGAGGCAAGAGAATCACTTGAGCCCAGGAGTTAGAGAACAGCCTGGGAAACACAGCAAGACCTCATCTCAACAAAAAATACAAAATGAGCTCGGTATAGTGGCATGTACCTGTAGCCCCAAGTACTAAGTAGGCTGAGGCAAAAGGACTGCCTGAGTCCAGCAAGATGAGGCTGCAGTGGCCATGAGAGCGCCACTACACTCCAGCCTGGGTAACAGAGTGAGACCTCAACTCAAAAAAAAGGGAAAAAAAAAAAAAAGAAAGAAATAATGTGAGAGAATGGCTTGAGTATTTAATGTAAGCAAACTGAGTTGTTTTTTTTTTTGTTTTGTTTTAGAAAGTAGGATTTAATAGCTGGGCTCAGTGGCTCAGCCTGTAATCCTGCACCTTGGGAGGCTGAGGTGAGTGGATTGCCTGAGCTCGCGGTTCGAGACCCGCCTGGGCAGCGAGACCTCATCTCTACAATAAATCAAAAAATCAGCCGGGCGTGTTAGCGCGTGCCTGTAATTCTGGCTACCTGGAAGCCTGAGGCGGAAGGATCGCCGGAGCCCAGCAGGTCGAGGCTGCGGTGGCCGGGAGCGGCCACTGCACTCCAGTCTGGGCGACAGAGTGAGACTCCAACTCAAAAAAAAAATAAAAAAAGAAAGTAGGATTTATTGAGAGGACAGAAAAGCTCCCACAGCGGGAGGGGACCTGAAGGGGTTGCCCGAGTTTTTTTTAATACTGAGCAATAGTAGTATTATGTGGTCACTTACCAGTGAAAAGCAGAATAGTGTTAAGGGATAGGACTGCTTAGAGAAAACAAGGTCATGAACTACAAGGTATTTAATCGCTTTTGAAATACTTAGGCAGCAAAAAGAACAAAAGCTGTGCTCGGTGACATTATACTGAATATGCTTTGTTCTAATATTCAAAAAAGGGAAGCTCAGCTAAGCAACAGGCAATACTGACAAAGTATTTTAAAGCATAATCATTGGGTACATTTATCTAACAATTTATGCAATGGTAAATCTCTGAAATATCTCATAGGTACTATTTTTATACTTTCAGATGATATTTATAGTATAGAAAGTGAGTTCTAACACATGGTTGTAATTTTTTTTTGTTTTTTTTTTTTTTGAGTTGGAGTCTCATTCTCTCACCTAGGCTGGAGTTTAGTGACACACTCATGGCCACCACAGCCTTGACCTGCTGGGCTCAGATGATCCTTCCACCTCAGCCTCCCAAGTAGCCGGAACAACAGACATGTGCTACCATGCCCGGCTATTTATTGTAGAGACAGGGTCTCACCAAGTTGTCTGGATTGGTCTCAAACACATGGGCCCAGGCAATCCTCTCACCTCGGCAACCCAAAATGCTGGGATTATAGGTGTGAGTCACTGTGCCCGGCCTGTGGATGTGATCTTAACTTCATAAGTTTTTATTACATCTATTCCTACTTTTAGGGAATACCAATTTTGCTTTAACCATAATTTTTATTATCTGTACTGCCTTCCCCCAAATTACTCCAGTTAATCAGTACTTAACTGTATTTCACTTGTGATCCCAACACTAGTGAGAAAATAATAGATATTTAAGTATACTTATTACGGTCTTCTCTAACCTCTTCTGCCAGATGATCTTGTTCTTTATGGAATGGATCACTTTTTTTGGTTGGTAGAGACCCTCCAGCTTGACTACTCTTTGCAATATCCGATAATGGAGAGTCTTCCATTTCAAATTCTGGTATTTTCTTAGAAACTGTTTCATTTTTGTCTTTGGGAAGTCTCACTTTCGTGTCCTGAGAAAGACAAACATGTAATATTAAAACCTTAATAATCATAGTTGATCTTGAATTTATCTTCATTAGAGGTTCACTGGTTATCATGAACCTATAAAAGGTTGTTAACGTTACTGTGAAATTATATGTTCACTGGCAGAATTTACTAATTTCAAAATTCCCACTTAGCAATAGAGAATGTATAAATAGACATTGTACAAAATGTGTAAATACTAGAAAATGTGAAAATAGAAATTTAATTTAATTAAATTGAGATAGCAACAAAAAGAAAAAAATATTTTCTCATAATTTAATATGGTCATAATTAATTGTAAATTAATATACCTTTCCAAGTACAGTAACACTACTTCTATCTGAGGATGAAGCTGGCTGCAACAGCAAAGACACAGAGCTAAAGAAAAAGAAAATCATAACAAATCCAAGTTATAAGCAGGAAAAAAACTCCATTTCACTTGACGTATCTAAATATGCTTTAAAAACTGTCTGCCCCGTATCTGTCCGTTACAATTTCACTCAATTTATCCCGGTCATCAAAAGGCAGTTTTACTCTAGGGAGGTACAATGACAATTAGAGCGGCACTTCAGCCCAATTTGTGTGTCAGCCTCCCAAGTATGAACATTTTGCTTACCCACTATGCATTTTCATAAGTCAATAGTATTTTTTTCTTTCATTCTTTCTTTTTGAGTCAGTTTCACTCTGTCACCCAGGCTTAGAGTGCAGTGGCAGCCTATGGCCACCGCAGCCTCAACATGCTAGGCTCAGGCGATCCTTCTGACTTAGTCTTCCAAGTAGCTGGAACCTAAGGCATGCACCACCACACCCAGTTAATTTTTTAATTTACTGTAGAGAAGAGGTCTCATCAAGTTGCCCAGGTTGGTCTTGGACGTCTGGGTTCAGACAATTCTGTCACCTCAGCCTCCCAAAGGGCTGGGATTATAGACAAGAGTCATCATGCCCGGCAGTATTTTTTCAAAAGGGTTAAATGACTTGTTGAACACTCTAAAATTTGAGTACAGATTAAAATCATATTCAATTAACTAGAATTTCAATATTATAATGTCCACAGGGTATAAATCACAAAATTTCGTTGTAGCACAGACTTACTTTTAAGATTCTTTTACGTTTCAATCCAAAATCAACCTCATATGTTAAATTCTGCTTTACAGCAAACAGGTATGTTTATACTTACAGTAAAGTCATAAGGTTACTCAGAAATTCAGTCTCCTATACTCTGTATGTTGGGTTTATTTTGCTTGTTTTCTGAATCGGGGTCTTACTCTGTCACCCAAGCTAGAGTGCAGTGGCACAATCACGACTCACCACAGCCTTGACCTCCTGGGTTCTGAAATCCTTCCGCCTCAGCCTCCTTAGTAGGTAGGACTACAGGCATGGGTCACAATACTCAGCTACTTTATATTTTGTAGCCATGAGGCCTCGCTATTTGCCCAGGCTGGTCACAACTGCTAGGCTCAAGCAAACCTCCCGTCTCTGCTTCCAAAAGTGTTGGGATTACACGCATGAGCCACCACACCTGAACTGTATCTTGTATTTCTTAATCTCTTGGATTCCCTTTTCTCTTTGGATTAACATTAAAACCTTATGTATCTTTTTTCATGCTTAGTATAAAAAGGAAAAACCTTCAAAGAAATGATAACCTGAAAGTAACTATTTGGGCAAGCCCCTCAGGTCCCCTCCCACTGTGGGAGCTTTTGTCCTCTTAATAAATCCCAGTTTTTAAAAAAAGTAACTATTTTATTTTGATCTTTAAAAATATTAAAAATCCAAAGACCAAAGGCTTTTCTACACTAGGCAATATGAAAGACAAGATTACCACTGAGATCACATTCTGGCTCAGCCTGTAATCCCAGCACTTTGGGAGGCCGAGGTGAGTGGATTGCCTGAGCCCGCAGGTTCGACATCCGCCTGGGCAACTTGGCGAGACCTCATCTCTACAATAAATCAAAAAATTTGCCAGGCGTGGTAGTGCGTGCCTGTAGTTCCAGCTACTTAGAAGGCTGAGGCGGAAGGATAGCCGGAGCCCAGCAGGTTGAGGCTGCGGTGGCCGGGAGCGGCCATTGCACTCCAGTCTGG